CAGCACACGCCCAAAGTTCGCCGTTCGCCAAACTGCAGCCCTTTATTCGCCTTTGTCTGCGGCCTGCTGCCTTGCTGCGCGCCCCTCGCCCCGCGGCCCCGAGGTGGCAAACCTTGCTGTGAGAAGATTTTCCTCCGACCATGGTCCAGGTGTCCATCCCTGTTTGGAGAGGCGATGAAGACGGAGGCCCGACAGTGGCGGACCGGGAGCCGATAACATCGGAGCGGGTGCAGAGCGCTCAGTTCAAGCCGCACCCGCTCTGCTTTTCCCGGCTTTTCCAGCCAGCCGCTGGCGGGCTTTCGGCATCGTCGGCTTCCGGTCGCGTCCTGTTTGTCTTCCGCCGCCGAAATCGTCGCCGCGGACGGCAAGGCTTCCGCGGCCATGCTTGTTGTGTCAGTTGCGCGCCGACCAGGTCGTGGTGCCGACCAGACCAGGCGGTGTCGACCCCAAAGCGAACTCGGACGGAAAAGCGCGCCAAACCGAATCAACCTTCCGCCTTGGTGAGTCAGCTGGCGATCGAAGGGAAGCCACCTGGTAATTGAGTCGTAGACAGACAAAGGCCGGAGGTACGGCATTGCGTTATCCTCCTTCTTCTTCTCCTCCTCCGTGGAGCTCGCGTTGCTCGCGCTCCTGGAGACGGCCATATCTTTGGCTTGGGCCCCGCCCGCCCGCTGGTGCTCGAATAAACAAAGTTACCCCCCCCCCTCTCTCTCTCTCTCTCTCTGCCGCCACTCGCACTCACACACACACGCACCGCGCTGCGTCTCTCTCTCACACGCACTCTCTCGGCGTGCCCCGACAATACGCCGGAGCGCATAAATGATGGCTCTATCGCAATACAACAACCAGCATGACGTCTTGATCCCCGGGAGCAACCTGACAAACGGGTCCGCGCGCCGCCACGCCCCGCCGCGCCCCGCCCCGCCCCGGCGTCCCATTGGTGCCCGGCGTGCCCGGCGTGACCTTTGGAATGGCCAGAACGAGTTTCTCAGAGAGGATGTCGAGGGGCCCGCCTTTCAGACCACCGCATGGGGGCAGTACCCGGCAAGAAATAACCGCCGTTTCCGAGCAGAATGCGGCTTGCCCAGTCTCCAGACTCAGCGGTTCCGCGAGCCAGCTTGGCTGGATCAAGGATGCACGGTGTCAAAGTGGGCACTGTGTTTTGTTTCCAGAACTCGTTTTCCACCGAAAGGTCCGTCGATTTGGTGGAGACTCGTAGATTTATGCGTGGTGTCCGCAGCCTCATTTGCGAGTCAGGAAGTGACGGACAAACACAGTCGCCGCCGCCTTTCCCTCTCTGCCCTTTTTTGCGCCTTCCTTTTTACATTGTGCGCGTTTCGTTCCAGCCTAAAAAGGGCTGCAGGAAAGGTTAGCCTGTCAATGGGCCGGCCGGCTGGCTTGCTGCTGACATTTCGTAGAAAGTCATGAATGCAGTGTGGCCTTTGTCTGACTCCGGGCCGACCTCAATGCATGCTCTCTAAAAACCAAACGGCCCGTCCTGCTCCCTTTACCTGCTCTTTCGCCCCAGAACGTGGGCTTCATATGGCGAGAAAATGCCCGCTCGAATGTCTGAAGACCTTCGGCCACCTCGCAACAGTGTGGCGTTTCGGAATAAACCTCGGCACGCAATTCCAGAAAACCCTCATTGCAGCTCCGAAGGGTTTTCACGCCCGGCAACAGACCATCAACAATCAGTGGAATGGAGCGCGAGACGAGGAGGGTGCAAGTCTGGCTGTGCGTGCGGGTGAGGGTGGTGGAGAAAGTAGTACGGGCACTGGCTGAGCAGTGAGATGCCCGCGGGAGGGAGGAGTGGGACATGTCAAGATCAACCTCATCCCCTGCAGAGGGTGGGCCCTGCACAGGCCCCTTCCACCCCTGTCTGTCTGTCTGTCTGTCTGTCTGTCTGTCTGCGTATTTTCAGCTAAGCCTTGAAAGAGGAAGAAATACATTTTGAGTACCTCTTTGAGCCCTCCAACAGTGAGAATTCAGTATTACTGAGTTGTTCCCACTGTTTCTTTTCGACATGAATTTCTCGAAAGGGTTAGCCTTCTTTGTGTGTATGTGCGAGTGCGCGCGTGAATGGGGCATTCAATGAGCATCTACTGACTTGTAAGCGTCGACGAAAAAAGGAGAAAAAAGGAGGAAGTGGCGAGGGAGGGAGGGGAGCCCAGATTGCTCGTGACGATCGCCTGATGGGCCATCAAGTCCCCCGCACACTGTGCATCGGTACCGACCTGGTCAGGACCTCCTCGGCCAGAGCGTGCCGGGGCTTGGCGGGGCGGGGCAAGGCAAGTGATTCTTTACTGCGCCCCTACAGCCCCTGCAGCCCTGCCCTCACCCACGGGTCATTCCTCGCGTTGTAAAAACATCATCGGGCTAATTTGAGTGGCCGTTTCGGGCCGTTTCGGCGGCGCTTCACGCGCAAGGCGCCTCAGATCCCCCTCCACTAGACAGCCCCCGAGGAGGGCCCACTCCTCGATTGGCAGCGAAGACTGAGCACTTTTTGACGAAAATTTAATACGAAAAGCAAAGGGCACAGCGCGGCGAAAAAAGACAAACAAAAACAAAACTGTCTCCGGGACAAGTTTTTCGTTTCAATTGCTGCGGCGTGGATCACTCCGGCAGCACGCGTATCTCCACCGGTACCGCGCGGCCGTTCCCCAAAAGTTGGACACTTTCCCCGGCCGTTCCAGCCGTTCCAGCCCCGAGATATCGCCGGCTGATCGCTTCCTGCGAAAGAGTAAGTTTCCAGCGGCAGTGTGTAAAGCGGGCGGCATAAGCCTGGCGACCCGCTGCCACTGGCTGCGCCGCGCCGCTCTGCCATCGACTCGGCCAAATACTTTTCTCGCAGTAAAACGAGTCCGGAGTGCCGCAGATACGAATTTACAATTTCCATGCGCGATTGCGCGCGTCCCATTCCAAACGGAAGCAAGGCGAAGAGAAAAAAAAAAGCGGCGCAAGGAGGGGAAACTTTATCTTTCGGAATTACAAAAACTTGGCGAAACGACCTCGAAGTAGCATTCAGGAGAAGGAAACGGCTTGGTGGTGCGCGGCGGGGGTGGGGTGGGGCGCGGCGGGGTGTTTGCACAAGAAGGGGCGGAGAGGACGTGTTTGGAAGACGAAAAGGGGAACGGGCGAATCCAAGAGAAGCCCGAGGCCAGCGTCTTGGGGGTGGAAGGGTTGCTAGGGCGCGGTGGGGCGGGGTGGGGCGGGGCAGGGCGAGGCGCGGTGGGGCCCAAATGGGCGACATCCATTCCGGGGGTAGCTAAAGTATCTCAGTCATTACAACATTCTGCCGACCTAGCGAGAATGGAGAGATAGCAGAGATGGGGAGGGTGCGCGACAGCGCGGGGCGGGGTGAGGCGGGGCGGGGACTTGGAATGAACCTCACCAGAGCCTCGCCAGAGGGCAGTACGGTGGGCGGGGACTTCGGACAAGGCCAGTCCTGCCCTTACCTGGACCAACCCTTTTCACCATTTCAAAAGAAGTTTCAATAACTTAATGTAGGATTCTAGACGACCATTGGGTTGAACCGAAACGCACGTGCACAAGCATCCGAGCTTCCATCAACACAGCAATTGGATTACAGTGCTGTGCACTTTCGGTTCCACCCTTGCTGTCAAACATATATTTTAGGGCGACGGAGGGGTGCCTTTCCCCCCCTCTCTCTCTTTCTCTCTCGCTCTGCCTCATGGCCGCGATGAGGGTGTGCGAATTAGTATTCATGTGAAAGGGCCGTGCAAACACTGGCCCGAGAGCGAGAGAGAAGAGACAGAGAGAGTCTGCGAGAGAAAGGAATTTCGCGAATTTCACTTCATCAGCACCGCGTTAACGACTCCTACAAATGTTTTGCTTGCATGAGTGCACAAGCTGCCGGAGGCGCGGGCAAAAGGCTGCTTCGGGATTGGCCGAAACGCGCAGCGCGCCAGAGCACGGCCGCTGGAGCCCTGGAGCCTGGGGCTGGAAAAGCGCGCCAAGCCGGCGTGGCGAGCCGTGGCACGCTACTATCCCCTGCTTTATGTGGATTGGGATTTAGAGCGCGAGTGGCGGCGCGGAGTTAGATTAGAATACATGGACTATTGGGTGTTACCGCAGCGAATCCCGCCTATTCCCGCTCACACTCACACACACAGACACACACGCGCGCACGAACGCACACACACACACGAGCTGGCTGGATGCTGGATAGCGGGGGGCTGCTTGTATACGGCCCCGGTAACGGCCGTATGGGTCGTTTAACACATATATCTGTTTTCTGATATTGTTTATTTATTCGGGCCGAAATGCTGAGCAGGCCGGCGGGGCGTCCGCAGGCGGTCTTGGCAGTCTCACCCCCGGGCCAGCGGCTAGAGAGGTTGTTGCGCCCCGCGGAGTCGCAAAGGGGTACGTTGCACTATGAAGAAACCAAATCATATTCGCGAACGTCATCACCATTGCCGATGTTGCATCCATTTTAAAATATAAAACACACAGTTAAATTTTTTGGGTACAAAGAGCCCGGTTAGTGGAGCCAAAGGCTTCGGAGTCAGCCTCCTGACTTATGGAACCCCCATCCGGACGGGGCGTGGCCGCGTGGCCTCCAGGAGGAGCATGGCGTCGCATGGCGTCGCATGGCGTCGCGGCGGGGCGCCCAGCGCGACTACTATTTTTATCAAGACGCCCGGCCGCCGGCACGGGGGTGCGAGAGAGAGGGAGAGAGAGGAGAGAGACGCATGCACCCCATTAAGGCCCCCGCCATATTCAAATGTAACTGCCATCTCGCACGCGCGCCAATAAAAACGGAAATTATGACTCCGGATAAGAAATTGGAGGTCCATCCACGCAGCCTCCGCGGCGGACAGACCAGCGCGCCGTGGGGCCACGCACGCCGCGGAGACATACGGGCACCACCGCTAGGGGAGGCTGCCGGGAACGACTTGTACATTTTTGGAAGAATTAGAGATGAGTGTGATTGAATTTCCAACTTTAATTTTTTTTCGTTTTTGTTTTTATGTTTTCAGACTGGAGTCCTTACTGGAGAAACCTGCATTTTTTTCGTCAAGAAGATCCAAGCCATTCATTGTAAAAAAAAGTTACAGTAATACACTGTCATTTACCAATTTTCTAAAAATCGTGATCTGCTTCCCTTTTTTTCTCCTCTCCTACTTCATTCACCGAAAATTGAAGCACCCAACACAAGGTGCTCCAGGGACGTTTTTTTTTCGGGGTTTTCCGGAGGGTCGAACACGCAGTCCGGCCCATTGTACAACCCGAGACGGCCTTCTTGTAGTTGTTCGGGAGGACAGCTACAGCCGTAACGTCCATCACGCAAGGTGGGGTGGACATTCAAAAAAGGGGGTGGGCCTGCTTCACCCTGTGTCGGTCAGGGCGGGGAAAAAATGTGACCGAAGAAACGGCATGGATAACATCTCCCTGCCGGCTTTCCAATGCACCTGGACCGTTTCGGAAGAATGATGAAAGTGGTAGTCAAAACTGAAGAAGTTGGATGTCAGCTTATTTCGCCAATTTTGTTGTTTTTGTCAAATTTCTTCAAATATGTGCTTACCTAGTAGGTTTGAAAAAATTTAAAAATTTAAAGTATTCTCATTATAAAAATCACAGTCTAAAAACAAAATTAAAAACAACAAGAAAACAACGTGGCGCTGTTCGGGCGGCCATCTTGGATCGCAGCCGGGACTGGGGTTGGGGTCATCCATCAGACCCGGCGGGGATTAAAAAACTAAGAAGAAAGGGAGGGGGAGGGGAGGCGGCCGCTGTCGCTCTCGATTTATTCCCCGAGGGATGAGCGGCGGACTAACGTCTTCATTGGAAGCGGACACCGTTTCTCACCTGCGAGAATACAACAGCCGAGGGAACTAATGACAAACCAGGTACTTCGGATCATCTCCGAGATGTACCCGGCCAAGAAAGGTTCTCACCAGCCCGCGAGCGCTACAAAGTCACTGCGTCGTGTTTGTCCATTCGGCTACCTTCTCTCTCTTTACCTGCGGAGGAAGGTGGGGGTTGAAGAGGTAGCCAGATGAGCTTACGCTGCTTTTCGAAAAATGGACGAGGTGAGCACTACAGCGCGATTCGTTTTCTAAAGTAAGTACCTTGCATGGCAACGGGCAAGCGGGTTGCGGGTTGCCTATGCTCGACTCTGCGGGCGCACAGGAGTGGAGTGGGGCTGAAGGGCGTTCGGGAAGCAGTGCGCTGTTTCTCGCCCTTTTCCGTCTAGGGGAGTCTGTCCAAAAAAGTGAAGAAATTGTACGTTTTGAACGTCGCTCCGTCTGCGAGTTTAGGCGCCAAAACTGCCGAAGTGTTCGTCCGCCCGGGGCCGCGGTTCGAGTCCACCTTCGCAGCAGCAGCCCTGGCCAGTTAGTTTGCACGGTGGTCCTCCTCCACGGTAGCCGCGCCGCCAGGTTCCGCCAGGTTGGCCGACACAATCACCTGACCCAATTCGCGCAGGTAAACAGTGCAGTACCGCTACGTTGCATAATGCGCCGCCCTTTGTGCGACTTCTTTTTTTTCCCTTTTTTTACGGCGCGCGCCCTCAGGTGCGACGACACGTCGCGTCAATGACGCAATGACCTACATTCGCGTGTTTTGTCAACACGCCGCCGTGTTTGGGTGCGGCTAACGGTACTACCGGCCTGATAAGTCAAAGAAGCTCGGCGGGACGAATCGGTAATGCCTCGCAGTGTGGGTGCCGTCTCGGTTCGGCTGGCTACTCGCACTGCTGCTGCTGTTGTTGCTGTTGCTGCTGTTGTTGCTGTTGCTGCTGTTGCTGCTGCTGTTGCTGCTGCTGCTGGGTGAATTGCCACGAGGATTGCTCAAGACGGGACACAGTATTGCGCCAAGGCGGCGAGGAGGAATACAAACAGAGGGAGATTCCTCGCTGGCTGGGCTGCCTCGCCGGCGTGGCGCATTGCGGCTGCCGGGACAACGCCGGGACAGTGAACAGAAATGCACACCTTCCGGAAAGCCTTCTGCCTTTTGAATTTCCCGCCCGGATAGAAATTGCTCCTTGCAGAGCGTTTCGCCGTGTTCCATATGGAGTGCGGCGCGCTGCTGGGGTCCGAGCGCCAGCCAAAGGATCGCTCTGTTGCTGCGTCTCTCTCACACCCCTACGGGACGCCCGTTCGAGTGCGAGAGAGACAGAGTGACGGGAGGGTCCTCCAGAAATCGGCCTGGGTGTTTGTTTGGCGGCCAGGAGTTTGCCGCCAGCTAAATGGATAACGGCCGTTAAAAGTCGCGATAAATCTGACGCGTCCGTCCGTCTGTCCGTCCGTCCCTTTCGCACTCCGAATGGGAACATCTCAACCTGGAGCCGGCCATGGAGCCAGCGCGTCCGTCTTTGTCGGCGTGAGGGGAGCAGGGCGGCCGCGCGACAGAGAGGGCGAGTCCCGACAGTAAGTGTAAGAGCACGCAAGAGCGAGCGAGACAGAAAGCAGGCGGCAATGTACCCAACAACAGCGTATACCTTTCATTAAGATGTCGTCTGAGGGCAATCTAAATGGGTTCGGTCGCCGGCGGCCACCATAGAGGGTAAGACTCTCCGTCTCTCTCGCACACAGCCTCACTCTCCTCTCTCTCTCTCTCTCTCTCTCTCTCTCTCTCTCTCTCTCTCTCTTACACACGCAGGGCACCTAGAGAGGCAGGCGAAGGGGGTGGACAGCGTGATGGACAACGGCGATGAAGACGTCTCCATCGTAGTGGCCTTTTCCCATCGGATGCCTTTTCAGGTGCCGCGGTCAGCGGAGTCAACTCCAGGCAGGCAGGCAGGCAGCCAGGCAGGCAGGCAGCCAGCCAGCCAGCCAAGAAGACTATCTGTAATTAACCGTTTGAGCCCATCAGCTTGATTGGCGCTGAGTACCAGGCGGTGGCGGCCAGATGGCTACTGGTTCCTCCCTCTTCGTCTCCACTTCCACCTGACTGAGTCCAACGCAGGCGGCCATGGCGGACCGCGCCGAGCACACCGGGCCATTATTTGACTATTCGCAGGCCGAGGGAGCACCCATGTGTTCTGGGAAAGCTGGCGGTGCTGGAGGCGGAGTCTGAAGAAAGTGTCGGAGAAAGATCTATCCGTTCGATTTGGCGCTCGTGAATCAGTCGCACAAAGGACAGCGATATGCGGTCGCGGGATGGGCCGTCGGCAACAAAGGCTGCTCACTCGGCCTCCCCTAGCCACTCCCAGCACTGCACAGTGGGCCAGAAGACCGGCGGAGGTGGCCACAATTCCAGACGCGTTTTGAGCTCCAGAGTCGCTAAATGGAGCTCGAACCGAACCTGTGACCCCTCCAATGGATTGCTCTTCAAACGAGGAATCCATTGGTGGGGTCACACGTTCGATTCGAGCTCAAAACGCGCCTTGAGTTTTTGTGCCTCCGCCGGTTCTCTGGCCCACTGTGCAGTGTGAGCGCATTGCCCCCAAAATTCAAATCGCTGCTCACTTCACCGTGGCAAGGCGAGCACCTCAACTAGGCGCCGTTATCAAAAAGTGCTCGTTCGTATCGCTGGTGCCAAAAAGGGCGGCGGCGTGGCAGCGGGTTCTCACCTCGTAAGATTAGCGCATCGGCCCGTGACGAGGCTAGAGCCTCTGTCAAAAATATTCAAATTCCATGGCGGCTAACTACGGGAGAAACTGCAGACATCCGCTGATAAGAGGCAGAAGCGACCAATTACTTGTTTCGTTTTTAATTTATTTTCCCCTCGTGTTTACACCTTGCCGCCGAGCGTGACCTTCGAGGACGCCAAGGATTATGCGGCGCGGTGGGCTCACGGTTTGAATCGGTGGCGCGCTGAGGAGCGCGGTGGGGCGCGAGCGGGTTGGAGGCACTGCCGACGGAGGGCGCCACTGCGGGCCGCTGCGCTGCCCCTTCGGCCGCGTCGGCCGCGCGGGTTGCGCCGCTCGCCGCCAGGCCGCGCCACCAGGCCCGAGGGGCCTAAGTGCGGCCATTGCGGACACAATTGGATTTACGTTTTCACGCTCTCATGCACGTCGTCGGTCGCTTTAAAAAAAACGAAAAACGTGCTGCTGGGAACATTGGGGCGCTAGAGGAGCATGAAAAGGCAATTTTTGAACGTGGCGGGAGTGCCGCGCCGCGTTTTGGTATGCGGTCTCGGCACGGCGGATGGACGTACAGGTGCTTTGAGCCCCTAATGAAGGCGCGAATGCACGAGGTGAGACTGCAAAACAATGCACTTCATGAAGACATTGTCTCGCCAGCACGCGTCGGCTGGCACATGCGACCACTTCGCCCCTTTCCACCTCAACTTACTTTTATTTTTCCTTTGCTTCGCCATAGCACACCCTGCTGCAATCTTTTCGAAAACGAGGACCTCAGCACCTTTTGGCACGGCGGACTCGCACGCTAAAAGTGGAGTAGATCACCAGACACTCACAGTCCCACTCCCACTCACACAGACACAGTCTTGCTTCGGGCGTCGCGGAGAAGCACGCCCGCGTAATGCATGCCTGTACGCCCCGCTAAATTACGGCAACATGCTGTGTGACTATGCATATTCATACGGCCCTCCCTTGGTGGCGCTGCGCGAGGTCGCGGCGAATCAGGAAACACTTCATGATTACAAACATTTCTTGTTTGTAACGCAGTTCAAGCTCTTTTTCATCTGTTTTTATTTTTCCCGTTGCTCCTTTTTATTTAATTTTTTCGCTTTTTCTGCGGTCAAAGCCCTTTTCGGTTCGAGCCCCATTTGACTGCAGATCCGGAGCCCAGCGCCGCGTCAGCGTAAACCCCGATCCTAAGCAAATGAATGGTGTGGCAGTTTCTTTCTCTCTCTAGCCGAATACGTGACGGGGGGGGGGGGGGGGGGGGGGGGCGCACACGGACGTACACACTCACACGAGCACACATGCACACACACATGCAAATGCATGAGCACGCATCGGACGGCGTGCTGAATGTGGAAACTGGTGTTTATCATTGCAGTAACCGGGCGGCTTCGTTATTAACGTTTGCTTTCCCGCCCTTTTAAAAATGCAAATGAGCAAAATCGCCGCGAAGGCTCGGTGCGCGCTGGTGTGAGCGCGGTCTGCGCGTCGCGACGCGTCGCC